CCCTAGTAGCATCTTTGCTCCTAGTAGCCATGCCCTTTGCTCCGTTTGTAGCGTTGATAAATATGGTTCTTGAATCTGCTTTTGTCAAGAGGCAGTTGGTTCACATCATATTCAAAGTCGTGATGATAAAATGCCTCGACAGGTCCTGGGGAAACGGGCTGTCCGCACAAACGTCCGACATACAGTATACCAGGCCATGTTCAAACGGACACGCTTGAAAAGAAGAAAAAAAGCTGTCTGAAAGAACAAACAACCATGACTTGGGTGTCGTCCTGGTTTGTCATAGACCAGCACAGTCTGTGGGAAGAGCCCAAGAAGGCTGCGTGAATGAAACCAGGAGTCCTTCCCGATGACTTCGCGGACCAGTCCCTGGTCGCTGGACCATTCCAAGCGCATGCGCGCGAAGCCCGTCCGCTCGTAATACATCACTTGGAGGTGATACAAACGAGCTCCGGTCAACAAAATCGGCCTGGTTTGAAACTGCCCTGCGCTCGCTTGGCTCAAAACCAACTCATCATCAATCCAAAGATTTGCTCCATCGTCACAAGTAATGTAAAAGGTATAATTGGCGGCGGTCGGGACCTGCAAATATCCGTCAAATTGTGCTGAGGCATAATCCGAGGAGTCCGCTGTCACCAATCCTTCGCCCCAATTGAAATCAATCGCTGTGTCCACCTGCGAGATGGCGGGAACCCCCTCCACCCAGCGATTGTTGAAATACCTGGCATTGATGCCGCCTTTGTTCAGGGCATAGCAATTCACCTTGTGCACCCCCGTGGTCTCCAGCTTGAGATTCACCCGGAAGAGTCCAGGAGCATAGCGCACGGCATCCAAGGGGGGGTCGGAAGGGCGTGGTCTTTTGCTCTGGTCCATCAGCTTCACAGAACATGAAGTTGTTGCCTGGCAAAAGAACAGATTGCCACACCACTCATATAGCTTTCACACCACTCTTTCACGAATCCTTTGGACGAAGTAGCGATGTTGCGTTTCAAGAAGCAAAGAGAAAGCAAAGAGCGTTCTGGTCTGAATGTCCAGCTGTATGGACTTCCAGAAAACAAGTGAAACAAGGGTAGATGCTAGCTAGTAGTAAAACATGCCAGTGTCTTTCGTGCATACTTGCACCGCCAACCAATAGGAGTGTGAGTGATGCGTCACGGACAGCATTGATCACTGTCAATCCATGATTGCTATCACTGTCACTGCCACAAGACTGTTCTCGATTGCAAGAGAATCACGAAGGTGTGGTCGCGCAAAAACTAAATGTTATCGTGCTTATATTGGCCGAGGGGGGTGAGGGCTGCGCCAGGATGACTTGCAGTGTAGTTGCCTTCAAAGTGCATTTGCTAGAAGATGCTGTGCACCATTTTATGTTTTAGCCAGGGTTCGAGGGGATTGCAGCACCCGAAGGGATGCAAAAAGAGAATAGAAACAAACAAATTATTCCCAAGGTCTCTAGATTGATACAAGGAAGGGAAGCAAGAAAGGGCTTGAGTTTCCAGTACGCTTCAACCAGAAGTTCACAAATTCTATGCTCAAGAGACGACTGAGACGCTATTCTCAAAGACTAGAGACTTATTGTACACAGTCGTACAACTTTGTTGTTTCAATTAGCAATGGCCTCCAACCTACTAGCGATGGCCTCCAACCTATCAGCGCTGGCTTCCACCCTACTAGCGATGGCCTCCAGCCTACTAGCGATGGCTTCCACCCTAAGAGCGATGGCCTCCACCCTAGCAGCGATGGCCTCCAACCAAAGAGCGATGGCCTCCTACCTAAGACCGATGGCCTCCACCCTATTTTCACCCTTCTACATCCTCAAAAACGAAGTTCAGGTAATCCTCTAAAGGGTGGTCCTGGCACCCACAGCGCCAGAGGCCGTCAGGAGAGGTAGTTGCATTCGAGCACAAATACTCAGAAATGGCATCGCGGCAAGCTCGTTACAAACATGTTTTGAAAGTGTTGGCCACTCCATTTGGGCCAAGTGATGCCTTGATCCGGGACATCATTTCCAAATTCATCTCTGACCTGGCAGTGGAAGCGCGATGCTTGCTGGTGGAGCTCTGACTTGCTGTCTGATTGCAACTTGCTGTCTACGCTCCAACCTGAAAAATCACGCTGTTGTCCGTGCTTCTTCTGATCTCTGGAAAGAATGTCGTGAAGGCGTAGACATAGCTCACCTGCAAGGAGAAATCTCACAAAGTTACATAACCCACAGAAATCTTCGAAAGACATCTTCTAAGGGCTCGGCGCCGCTCGTGGAGTCAATAGGCTTTGGGTTGATGACCAACCTGGGAAAAGAGGTCGAAGATCTTGAGCTTCCAACCAGGGACAGGCGAACCCATTTCTGTTTATAAGGATGCTTACTGCCATCAGATTCCATTCCGAGCAGCGCAAAAGTATGTGGTGACACTGGGTTCACAGGTTGGCCGTTCACCCGCAGGATCACACTCAGGGTCTGTGCCTGCAAGTTGGCACGGGGGCGATGTGCTTTGCAGAAACAAGACAAGTAACAAGTGCCACGCTAGTAGTAACAAGTGCCTTACTAGTAGTAACAAGAAGCTATTAGCTTCTTATTTCTATTAGCAAACATTGTTACTAGCTTCTTGTTACTAGTTAGTTACTAGTAGCGATGCACTTGTTACTCAGCTGAGCTGAAACTCTACAAATTCTCACTAGTAGGTTGGAGGCCACTGCTATTAGGGTGGAGGCCATCGCTATTGGGTTGGAGGCCATCGCTAGTAGGTTACAAATTCTCACTTTCTGCATGTTTGCAAAGTTAGCCGTTTCGCAGGACATCCATTCTTGGTCACAGCTCCATGTGGTGTGCTCTTGGCCTCTGTAATGAGGTAAGAGCATTTGTACCTTTGACCCAAAGAAACACGTCAAGAAAGGAAGGGAAAGGGATGTGAAAGGGAACATAGACATAGCCATGCTTTGGTTTCAGATTCACCCGCATACCTTGGAACACAGATTACTCATGTGCGTCCAGAGTCTTGTGGTACTATTCCTCGGGCATTCGTCATTTCGCCGACCGCAGCTGAAAACCGGAACGGAGCTCCCCGGTCCCCGCCGCTTCGGTGGGGCAGCTTCCGAGTTCGAGAATCGCTCGCATGACGAAGGTTAACGATTTAGTTTGAGAAACATTCTCCACGTGAAGAGAACGAAAAAGACATCACGAAAAAGAGAACGAAAAAGTTAGCCGTTTCGCGCCCGTTCGTCGACACGCGTTCCTCGACCCGTTGAGAATCGGACACTCCGAGCCCTTGATCCACACAGCTCAATCTGGCATCGTCCAATGTGACCTGCGGCGTTGAAGACGGCGGCTTCAGCGGTTTGAGGGAGCGATTGAAACGGACCAGGTGGTGGGCAGAAATGGAAGAAACGAGAAAGAGCGTCTTGTTTAAACGTTTGGTTTACGCAAAAAGAAGGAAAAGTGACCAGCACTTCTCCAACCAGCACTTCCTGAGCGCTCGACGGGTTCGCCTATGGAGACTCGCCTCGAACAAAAAAGAAAAGAAAAACAAAGCTGGCAATGCCCCAGACTGGTCCAAGAAAAAGTCAGATTGTTGAGTTGAAGTACTCATTGTAGTGGCGTCCATACTTCCCGACCAACATTGTTGTACCTATCCGACCTATTCTCTGATACACTTGAACTGTCAAACCACCATAAAACCACGCTGCTTTCAAGTTTTGAAGCACCTCTCATTGAGCTGCGCATCCCGCAGGGTAACGTAGAAAATGCCCTGATACACAAAACCAGCAGCCGATGTAGTTGAGGAATGTTTTTTTCACTCGATGCAGTCGATCTGTCCTCGACTCCAGCTTCTGCATACTGCAACCCGGTACCCGTTATGAGGCTGTGCACCTGGTCCGAACAAATGCTGCTTCTGAATGAAATCGTGCTTGGACAAGCTCCGAACAGCGCTGGTCGGACCAGGCTCGACTTGAGTGGTGAATGGAGAACCAACGATGTCCAGACCTAAGCCATCCGAACCCATCCAAAATCGCCGCTTCCCGATGAGGTCAGAGCGTTTCTGGTTGCTTAACTTGGTCTTTTGAAGAACTACAATACGATCAATGTGCAATACGCATGCGTTTTTTCAAAGCAAACATTGTGTGGTGCAACCAAGGCAATGCTGGCAATGTTTCTGCCACAATGCCCTCTTGTGCAACCTGCTTGAGAACCTGATAACTTTGCTCAGGTCCAAACAATGAAACAATGGGGCGCTACCCGCAACGTCAGGTATGAATACAATGATTGCAAGTGTTCAGCCTCTGCTGGAAGAACGCACAAGAACTGGCTTCACTGAAGCAGGACCACTGAAGGCATTTGAGACTTCAGAGTCCAAATCGTTCCTGAGACATCGCCATCGCGTTTTTAGGTTGGAGGCCGTAGCTCGACTGAAAACAGTCATAAGGCCCTAAGGCTGTGCACAGGCTGGCAAAGCAATATGAGTAGCGCCTTGTACTTATTTGGCTTCATAAGGGTCATTGTCAAATTGAGTTGTTCCATGTGTCTTTTTTCCCAATTGCTTCTGCGGCATTTGTCATACTCGCAAAAACAATCATGATCTAATCAAACATGTTTGTTCATTTGTCGCTTGACATTGACCATGTCGTTCGAAGAATGTATGGGACAACACACGAACGGAACGACCACGTTGTAGCTCCACTGTACCGACGGGCTGCTGCTCCTCCCAGAAGCGATCGCTTCCAACGCGGGGCAACAAAGGAGTGCCAAGGCGATCCCCTGGGACGGGCATCGCTACGAACGGAGCAAGGACGCTACGTTCCGGGCGCTCCTGGCTTTACTACTAGTAACAAGAAGCTACTAGTAACAAAGGGCATGTCTACTGGTAGTAATGCCCTTGTTACTACGATATCAGCTATGAGAAGAAAATGCTAACCTCTAAGTGAAAGGGTGAACCTTTTTATCTCCAAACAAATTGTATAAAGCTAGATTGCTGGAAACAATTAGGCATGTTTAAGATTGTTCACATTCCCTCACTGTTCATGCTTACTCACTGAATCATGAACAATCCCAATATGTATGTGTATAGATGTATACAAATATATTAACAAGTTCCAGCTGTGGAACCTGGTAGCAGTGGCATATTCATGTAGCAGCCGTACAAGCTCATAAAGCTGATTGCCTGGAGAGTCAAGTCACAGATTTCAAAACAGAAAAAGCAGCTCACAACGTTTGATGTTTGTTTGAGATGTTGGTGGCATGAAGTCTTTTGCCCGCCAAACAACTGACTAGCAGGGCTTTAGGCGCTCGGATTGGACCCTTGAGATGTGTTGTATGCTGGGTTCTTCTAAGATACTGGCAAATCAAATACACTCTAGGACAAAATGGCAAGGTGCTGGTGAATGTACAAATCCTTTCCTTTAACAAGTTCAGTGTTCTCTTTGGAAGGCTAGCTCTCAACGGGTTGACTACCCGTGGTCGAAGCTTGAAAAGCTTCAGCCTGCGCCGTTGTCCTTGTCCCATGACTCCCCACAGTTTCGAACCACTTTAGACTTCAGTGACTTCAGTGAAGCTTGCAGAGGAGGTCTTGCTTGTTCCTGTGAATCCGAGTGCACCGCCCTTAAGATGCACGCTTGTTGCCACCAAAGCTAGTCTGAAAGTGGCTATGCTCAGCATGGGTGGGCAAACATACTTCCAAACAAGTGTATGAGCATAGCTCGGAGGCCGCATCGCTCGTGTGTTCGCTCGTGTGTTCGGTGCACCGGTCATGTAGTATGACCAGCGGCTCGTGTGTTCGTCCGGGTGTCTCCGCTATGACGTTGGAAACGTCTGCTGTGATGCTGGAGAAAAGGCTGGGCAACTGAGTGGGGTGGGGTAAGAAAGCATTCAACTCGCGCACCCATTAGGTGCCTCAACCCTACTATTGAGCTCTGAAGAGTACAAATGACAGGGGTGAAAGCAATCCAATATCTAGAGGTTCTACGCTCACCATTTCGCGCCTGTAGGAAGCAGAAGGTCAGCACTTGCAAAGTTAAGTTTGGCTGCCATTGAGAAAATACCTTTCTGCGCACTGATCGAAGCTTCACAAATCTGGTTATATACATTGTTACACCGACAACAAGAGGGAAGCAGCTTGTTGTCCCATCAAGAAGCGCACCAAGGCACCATGTAATAGAGAAATGCTATAGATAACATTCCAGACGGTAGCGAAATTGCCTTGTCCTTCCAAGACCACATGAAACTGCAGAGGTGCTGGAATCTGGGTGCAAAGACACAACATGACTTGACAGGCAGGCATGTTGAAGCAAGATCCATCCTGATTGCCTGCACTCACATTTACCTTAGCTGCACACAACCAGTGTTTCTAAATTGGAAATAAGTCTGAGTACTCATGCAAAACAAATGCCACCAAACTGCGTGAATCAGTTCAATTTCTTTCCGGTCTGCACACTCTCTCTTCATGAGAGCTGGCGGAATTGCACCACCTATCCTGCTCGAAGCAGTTGATGAAAAGGCTTGCATAGTTCGCGCAATCACCTCAAGAAAGGAAGACTGGGACCGCAACGTGGAGAGGGGCAATTTCGGAACTTAGGGCAAGGCAATCAAAGGATAGAAATAGCCGGAGGGTGCAAGAATGGCAGCCAACTGGACAAACTCTGCACATCTTCCGATCGTACCGGAGATGTAATACCACTTTTTGTCGCTGTAGTTGAAAAGCTTGGCCATGATCGGCAAGCCTCAAACTGTCACCAACCAAAGAAGCTTTCGGCGCCGCAAGAACACGAGGCGAATGCACATCGGACCCGTACGAGCTTTGGACCCGTGGAACATCGGCCCATCGAAGGAAGGATTTGCCGTGCTAAAGCGTTTGATCACGACTAGTGGCAAAACATTTGACTGATATCAACTGCCCGGTTGCCAAAACCTTAGGTTGGAGGCCATCGCTCTTAGGTTGGAGGCCATCGCGTTTTT